TATATATATATATATATTGTCCCTGCTTTATAAATGCTCTATTTACTTATTTGTTTGTTATTGTATTTATTTATCAAATATGAAACCCGGCGTATACAATAAAAACTGACAATAATATACTTTCATACATTATGGGTTTATGACAAACAAAAATCAAAAGTAATTTGAATTTAGATCAACACGTCTCCTTTCACAGCGTATCACGAAAGCGAAACCTATCTCTCTGCCTTTTTAGTTTCGTTTTCGTGACATCGAATCTTTCAATACGCAGACCAACGGGAAAGAACGCATCCTGAAATATAAAATGAGGTAGGAGTGAATCAAACCTAGTGTAAATAACACATTTAACCAAACATGCAGTTTAAATGTAGCCTATTGACTCCGCATGTGCTGACTAATCTTAAGCAAACGTGTCTACAACACGCCTAAATCACCCTGTAGTCAATAGGTAATTTGCATGTTCTTCTGTATTTTTTCATAACATATCTATCTAATCTTTCAATCTAAATTTGTTTTGCAAAATAATGTGCAGTACTGTGGTTATTTATAAAAAAATATACTGCCAGTCCTAACTTGAAAACTCAGTGGTATGTTATACAAAACACATCATTTCTTTTCCGTATGTCTCCAGCAACAAAGACATGGAAGCTAAGCTCAGGCAGCTGGAGTGCCTTTTTACATGGGGAGTAGAAAAATCAGACATAAGGGATTTGAACAGTTTACCAGACAGACTCCATGACAGGATCAGATTTTGTCCACAAAAGTATCATGCTACATATTTCAACCTGGCTTTTATCAGCCACCTGGAGGGTAAAACTGAGAGTGCACTGGATTACCTTCAAAAGGCTGAACTGGCATTAAGGGAAGACCAGCGAAAGAAAGCTGAGTTCCTTGTGACGTTCTCCAGTTTTGCATGGGTACACTATCACTTGCAGAGGTTAAATGATGTGGAAGATTACTTGAACACCATGAAAAGCATATGCAAGGACATACCAGGTTCATCAGATTACTCCTGCAGCTTGCCCGTAGTACATGGTGAGAAAGGCTGGAGCTTTCTGAGACTTGGAGGAACGTACTATAAGCAAGCAAAAGAGAGTTTTTCTAAGGCTCTTGAGGCAGAACCACACAACATGTTTTTTAATGTAGGCTATGCAATAGTGCTTTACAGGATAGATGGCATGAACAAAGCAGAAGACACTGGAACAGCCACCGAACAGCTAAGAAAGGCTCTCAGCCTGGAGCCCACAAACACTGAGATCATGGTACTTTTGGCTCTGAAACTCCAGAGGTCAAGGAGACAGGAAGCCCAGAACCTAATAAAAGAGGCCTTCAGGTTGTCTCCTGACGTCCCACATGTCACCAGATATGTGGCTAAATATTTCAGGGCAGAGGGCTCCATTAAAGAATCACTGTCTTTCCTCACTAGGGCAGTGGAACAGGCCCCAAATTCCTCCTTCCTGCACCATCAAATCGGCCTTTGCCATAAACAGCTGCTTATTCAGATGTTGGAGGGGAGGAGGCCTGGTAGACGCGTTCCTGCTGCTCAGAAATCTGCTAAGGTGGCTGAATGTATCCAGCACTTCTCAGAGGCTGTAGAGCTGAAGCCTAACAATATTTATGCCAAAGTAAATTTAGCAGAGGCCTATGGGGAGAACCGGCAACTTGAACAGGCCGAGAAGATTTTCTGCAGCCTGATAGATGACAAGGTTCTCAGTGAGTCTGATAAGCAGCACTGCTACACATCCTATGGTTTATTTCTGCTCTATAAGAAAAAGGATGAAGACCAAGCCGTCAGTCGGTTCAAGTCAGCATGCATGATTCCTATCGACAGCTATGAAAGAAAACAAGCTGGCAAGAAGCTCAGACTAATCGCAGAGAGGAATCTCAACACCAGGCAGAAAGTCAAAGAAGCATACGAGATTTTGGCTTTTATATCTTCTGAAGACAAGCAAGAGACGCAAGCAAAGGAGTATCTGCGGAGAGCCCATCAGCACTACTCACATACTGATGAGTTGTCAAAAAACTTTGCTAAGGGACTGAAATTTTAACTTTCTTACTTGTACATACTTTTATCAAAAAACTTACTATAATGCTTTTAATGTGCACATATATATATATATATATATATATATATATTGCTAAGGGACTGAAATTTTAACTTTCTTACTTGTACATACTTTTATCAAAAAACTTACTATAATGCTTTTAATGTGCACATATATATATATATATATATATATATATATATGCATTTGGGTTAAAAAAAAAAAACCCAGCATTTTTTAGAGTGTAGTATTTAATAGTATTTGAAATTGACAAACATTCTGGGTGTTATTGATGGTGATTTTGACTTCAGTACAGGTGACATTGTTACACCATTAGATGGTGACAAGACTGCCTTTATGAGGGAGTCAGTAGCAAACTTACTTTTACTTTAAACAATGTCTTGTATGTGTGTGTGTGTGTGTGTGTGTGTGTTTATATATACACGTCACTATATATATAAAATATATATAATAAAAATATAAAAATTATACAGTTTCATTGTCATTGTCTCTTAGCTGAAAGTGACAGTAAAACAAAGAAATACATATGCAAAAGAAACATGACAACCAGACTCCAGATGGCTGGCAATGGTTTAGACAGTCTTCATTTAACTACCAAATATTACACTTAATTTGAGGCAGCCTTAAGCTCTCTGTCTTTTGCTCTCTTTCCCTCTCGCTTCAGCCAAGGTTTCAGTTTTCATTCTGAGTTTGACCCTCCCATCTCTAGGAGAGGTCAATAAAGCCTGCACAACCTTCCTCATCAAATAGATTCTGAAACATTTATCGTGCAGACGTCCTAGATAAGGTAAGTGCATGCCTACAATTACAAAGGTTTTTGCAGTTGGTCTACAGTGGTTTTAGCAAAGCTATTTAATATTTAATATATACTTCAAGAGGCAAGAAAATGCATTTCCAATTTTAAAATTACATTTTGAATGAATGTACTTTTTAAAATATATTTTGGCCAGAATAAATACATTTAAATAAAACAAATATTACATATATTATTAAAATGATTGAAAATATAATGAAGAGTTCAGATGCAAAAGCTTCTAAGTGCCATTTTAAATTATCTTCTAAAATGAGTATTTTCATCAGGCTCCTATGTGTAGGTTCTGTAATTTCACTTTAATGGCAATAAATAGGATATTTTCATTGCCATTAAAGTGAAATACCTGGACATAAACATAGCAGCCTGAGAAAAATGCTCATTTTAGAACTAAATTTTAAATGGCACATAGAGGCTTTTGCATCTGAACTCTTCATATTTAAATATATTTTAAAATCTATATTAGTAATGTATTGGACAATTTTTGCATGTTTTGAAAAAAAATTATATATATATATATATATATGAGAATGACGTAGTTTTTTTCACTTTTACCAGGTATGGATCTGGACAGAACTCTGAGAACAAAACTTCACCAGCTGGAATGCCACTTCACCTGGGCTCTGATGAAAGATGATATAGATCTAAATGATCTTCTCAATAGACTGGAAGAGCAGATTAAGTTGGACCTCGTAAAGAAAGAAGGACTTGCCCGAACTTACAGTGCTTTGGCATATGTCCAGTTCCTTCTGGGGTTTCACGAGGAGGCACATAACAACCTCATGACATCTGTGGAGCTACACATGGAATGCCATGGGGATGAATTTCACAAGACACTCATTGTCACTTATGGAAACATTGCCTGGTTAAACTACCACATGAGGAACTACACAGAATGTGAAAGTTATCTGAAGAAGCTTCAGGAGATAAATGAAACCTTTCCAACTGAGTTTTCATCTGTTCCAGAGGTGCTTGGTGAGAAGGGATGGACTTTTCTTAAATTCTCACGCAAATATTACGATAGAGCCAGACAATGTTTCAGGAAGGCTTTAGATCTGGAACCTGAGGAAGGTGAATGGAATGCTGGTTATGCCATTGCTCTGTATCGCACCGAATACGAGAGGTTCACTTTGGAGGATTCGCCTACAATAAAGCAACTGAGACGGGCCATTGACACGAATCCAGATGATGACGTTCTCAAAGTCCTCTTAAGCATGCGACTGATTGTTTACAAGAGGTACAGAGAGGCTGAAAGCTTAGTAGAGAAGGCTTTAGAAAGATCTCCAGATCACCCACATGTCATGCGATATGTTGCGAAATTCTTCAGGAATCAAGGAAGTGTGGACAGGTCAATTGCTCTTTTGAAGCGAGCACTTGAAAGCTCACCCAATTCAAGTTTCATACATCATCAGTTAGCTCTTTGCTATAAGCTGAAGAAAATCCAACTGCTGCAGGAGGGAAGTCACCATGCCAAAGGGTCAAGAGTTCAACAGATTCGCGATCAATGCATCTATCATTTAGAAAAGGCCACCAGCCTGACGGGCTCCTTCATTTCTGCAATGAGCGATCTAGCGCTGCTGTACGGAGAAAACCACGACATGTCGCGGGCTGAGGAGCTGTTTCAGGTCACTTTCAAAGCAGCCGAGGAGAAAAACGACAATCTACATGTGGTCAATTTTTATTATGCTGAATTCCAGCTGTACAGCCACAGATGTGAGCAGTTAGCTATCAAACACTACATGGAATGTCTGAAGATGAGCCCGGATTCAGTCGAAGGGAAGAGAAGTGCCAACAGTTTAAAGAAGATCGCTGACAAACGGATTAAGAGAAACTCGCTGGAAGGGGAGGCTTATGGGATAGTAGGGTTCCTTCATAAGATAAAAGGGGAGAAACATCAAGCCATTGAGTGCTATGAAAAAGCTCTGAGTTATGAAGACAATGATGAGTTCCTCAGTAACCTTAGTGCACTCAGGCTGTCCTTACAGTAAAGTCATCACATATTATGTGCTTACACTATCAGATGCACATTATGCAATACGCATTTGGGTGTGCTACATGTACTGACACTTTATGGTTATTTATGCTATAACTGTATAATGGAGATTAAGTAAGAAAAAAGTGATCAGAAAATATATAATAGACTGTATCTTTATGTTTATGTTCTAAGATTAATGGCTAAAAATATTTTACAATATTTCTAAACTGTCATTACCCAAAAGTCACTTTACACTAAGAGCTTAAAAGTTTGAAATAAAATTCATAATGTATATAATGCTTGTTTGTTTGTCTGTTTTTTTCAAGCATTTGTTTGTACAGATCAAAACCTATTCCACAGGTAATGTGGACTGATAAAAAGGTAAATAGCTTCTTTTCAGATCCCTATGTGAGAATAATGATTGTAAGTAATTTTATGCTATACGTTCCCTCCATGAAAGAAAAATATATCATGTAGTCTACTGGTAAAATAAAACATTTAGCTTTAAACTTATGATCCAGCCACCTCAATCATTAGACAGCAATACAATGCAAATGACAGCCTGACCCAAGGACATTCAATTATGTCCTTAATATTTAACCGGCCTACCAATGTGCATTGGCTCGTTTAGTTTACACTCGAAGTGGATTGGTCTCTCTAAGCGAGATCCCAATTTCGTCGGTCAGCCGACGTGACGTCTCCGTTCCCTCCTTCAGGGAACGAGGGTTACATACGTAACTGAGACGTTTTGTCTGACTTGATTATCTGAAGCTAAATGAAAAACGGTAGGCTAATCAAAGGCTGGAAAGTTTTGAAATCTGGCTTGGAAGACCTGAGGAAGGACAGTGTTAGAACAGAAATCTGCTCGCTGTCGAGTTTCAATTAAGTTTGTCGTTTAAATAACTATTCAGGTTATAGGCTACTTCAATCTCAGTTCCCATAATAACAGTAGCCTACTGTGGTAAGAAATAAGAACTTGAGCATAAAAAAGGAAAAAAAAATGCGGTAATAAATGTCAAGTTTATGATATGGTAATGAATGTTGAATAAAAGAGTGTCGTTTGAATCAGTAGGCTCTCTTGCTCCATTTGATATAACAACCACACAAGGTTTTTTTTATTTTTTATCTAGGATACTTGTTAAAAAGTAAAAAAGAAAATTTCGCTGATCAGGATCTCACCAGCATATGACGCTGCAGCTCTCTCCTGATTTCTGTTGAAGCCTTTGGAAGCTGCATGCCAAAAGATAGATAGATAGATAGATAGATAGATAGATAGATAGATAGATGTAAAATTATAAAAATAAATGAGTATTTTTTACTTTTATTTCCTTATGTATGATTGTATTATTTTACATATTTTCTCATTTATTTATATATACATTTATTTCTTATTTCCACATGTATTTATGTATTTATTTCCACATTTATTTTACATTTATATATTTCCTCATTTATTTGTCCATATGGTAATGAAGGGGGCGTGTTTTACTTCAGATGTAGCAATCGAGTAGCAATCAGAGTTGCAGCCTTGAGAAGAAAGAAGCTTTGAAAAGCTTTGCAAAATTAGCAAACATGAATGTAGTACTGGATTTGCAGTTGTTTCAAACCCACTGATCAATATGCTTACATAGACTGAGCTGCTGAAACTGAGTTTCATCATGCGTGTTTTATCCAGAAAAGAGTATGTGTGTTCATCCTATACAGTATACTATGCAAAACCGTTACCATGATATTAAATTACTTATACCAGGATATAAGATTTTGGCCATATCGCCCACTTCTAAGCCATTCATTCATAGACTTGCACTACTCAAAGGCCTCATAGCTTGAATGTTGAAAACAAAATGTTGAAAAAATGCATTTATACATAAGGAAATTAAAGTAGAAATATATATTTTTTTGAGTTTTTACATTTCTTTGTAAATGTATTTATGCATTTATTTATTTATTTAGGCAGCTTTGTCAATCAACACTGGGACTGGTCAGTCCCTGCATGGGAGAATTCTGAGGTCGCTGGTGGATAAGGTGTTAATGCAGTCAGCAGGGGGCGTGCTCTCTGCACCCAAATTTACTAGTATTGTGGTAGGACATAGCCTACTATAAAAGTCCCTGCAGTTTAAATGATTTTTAAACGGAGGTCCTGACACTCTCTGGTTATCTAAAAACCCAGGGTGTTTCCCTAAACGACTATAGGAGTGTAGTCCTGGCATCCTGGCCAAATTGATCACTCCATGTCTTTGTGGAGTTCAAGAGCTTCACCTGTCACTCTAAAGCACTTTGAATTATATAATGTATAAATATATAAATGCGTGTGTGTGTGTGTGTGTGTGTGTTGTGGTAAGAAATAAGAACTTGAGCATAAAAAAGGAAAAAAAAATGCGGTAATAAATGTCAAGTTTATGATATGGTAATGAATGTTGAATAAAAGAGTGTCGTTTGAATCAGTAGGCTCTCTTGCTCCATTTGATATAACAACCACACAAGGTTTTTTTTATTTTTTATCTAGGATACTTGTTAAAAAGTAAAAAAGAAAATTTCGCTGATCAGGATCTCACCAGCATATGACGCTGCAGCTCTCTCCTGATTTCTGTTGAAGCCTTTGGAAGCTGCATGCCAAAAGATAGATAGATAGATAGATAGATAGATAGATAGATAGATATAAACATGATAAAAAATTATTAATTATTAAACCACAATTAAAAACAAAAACATTTAAAATGTATTGTCCCCATTTTTGTGTGTGTGTGTGTGTGTGTGTAATTAATTACTGTGGAAAGCTATTGCTATATATAAACATTCAGACATGTTTTTTTCTGTGGTGGTATTATTATTATTTAATAAACAATATTTAATATACAGTATTTTTGTTATATATTATTTAAAACTAAATAGTTAAGTGGGTGGGTGTTCACATGGGTGCTGCTTAAGTATAATATGAAAACATTCTGTTACAAGGCCAAATCAGTTCTTTTTATTCTTTTAACCAATTGATTTGTTTTCTTGTTAGTTCAATCCAGGATAGTTTACAATCGAAACTGGATCAGCTGGAGTGTCACTTTACTTGGGACATTAAAAAAGAGGATCTAGTCTTGACGGATATCTTCAATAGGCTTGAGGAACAGGTCAAGATGGATCTAGGGAGGGAGCAAGGAGTTGCACGAACTCACTGCTCTTTAGGATATGTGAAATTCCTTCTTGGACGCAAAGAAGAGGCCCTTACTCACCTGTTGAAATCTGAGACACTCATTAAAGAAAACCTCGGCATCAACTGTGACAAGACTCTCATTGTCACCTATGGAAATTTAGCCTGGATAAACCACCACATGAAGAACTACTCAGAGAGTGAAAGTTACCTGATGAAGCTTCAGAAGATAAATGAAACATTTTCAGCTGAGCCTTCCTCTGTTCCAGAGGTGCTTGGGGAGAAGGGATGGGCCTATCTTAAATTCTCTCGCAAATATTATGACAAAGCCGCAGAAGTTTTTCAGAAGGCTGTGGAACTGGATCCAGAAAATAGCGAGTGGAACGCTGGTTATGCAAAAGCTCTGTTTCGCACTGAAACTGGTACATTTTGCACTGTGGATTCACCTGCAATCAAGCAGCTGAAACAGGCCATTGACATCGACCCGGATGATGATGCCTCTAGAGTTCTTCTGGGAGTTAAATTTTTGTTATGTTCCAAAGAGTTGATGAATGAGTCTGAGAAACTGATAGAGACAGCTCTGAAAGGCTCTCCAGAAAATCCACATGTCGTAAGATATGTTGGGAAATTCTTCAGGAATCAAGGATCAGTAGACAGGTCAGTTGCACTGCTGAAGAAAGCACTTGAAACATCACCAAACTCAGGTTTCATACATCATCAGTTGGCAATGTGCTACAAGACCAAGAAAATTAATTTACAGAAAGAAAAACGAGAAGTAAATAAGTCAGAGGTAAATAATGCACGAAATCAGTGCATTTACCATTTAGAAAAGGCAATTTCTATAAAAGCTTTCTTTATCATTGCCATGAGTGAGCTTGCACTTCAATATGGAGAGAAACGTGATCTGCCCAAGGCAGAGAAACTGTTTGACAGAACATTTAAAACAGCTAGAGAGAAAAATGATAGTGTGCATGTAGTACATTATTTCTATGCTGAGTTCCAGCAGTATTGTAACAGATGTGAGGACTTAGCAATCAGCCACTACAAGCAGTGTTTGGAAATGAGTCCACATGCTAGTAGTGAGGGGAATAGAAGCGCAAAGAAACTGAAGAACCTTGCCCAGAGATATATCAAGGATGACCCAGGTGATTGGAAGGCCAATGAAATACTGGGATTCATTTATCAAATGAAAGGGGAAATGTTTGGGGACACCAAGAGCTACGCAGCCACTTCAGGCAATGAAGAGGATGATGAGTCCCTCAGTAATCTTTGTGAGATTAATTGTAAAATATAAACTTTCTACAAGGATGCATAATTAATTGTTAATAGAAAAACAATGGGCCTTATTTGTATTTATGTGCGAAGAAAATATGCACATAAATTGTGTTTGTTCTACTGTTAATGAATCTAGGTGGTTCCAAATGAGGGAGCGAGTCTCTGCGGCTGATTTGCACAATCATGCCCAAACTATGTGAGCATAAGGCTTTTCCATATAGTCCCACATCTCTCATTTTCTTGCTAGTTTTTTTTTCTCTTTCTCACACACACACTCCCGTCTGAGTGCATATGTGGGAGGATCTTTGAGTATGGCATTCTCAAAACCAGTTGAAGACAAAAACTTTTTTATATAGTTTTATATAGTAGGCTATTGGGCCTAAATTTTGTCATACATTCAAAATGCATTTTTGCACACTTGATAATTCATGAATTCTGTGTGAAGATGCTCGGAAACAGATTTAAACTAGCATGGATAGTGAACAAGGCTTAATGTGAAACAAGAGTTATTGTTATAAATTAAATGTTACTTTTTACCTTACAGATCCTTTTGATTGATTCAGTCTTAATTATAGTATATTGTGCTGTAAGGCAAAAAAGCACCTGTTGTAATATAGTCTTTCAGAATAGTATATGTATTCAGATCTATTTTTTAAAAATAAAGTAGCCTCTTCTTTGAACAGGAATGAAATTAAGGTGATCCGGGGTCTAGAGAAGAATTCTTTTAATAAAAACAACTATAAAAAACTAAAACTAATGCAGCCCTGTTAATCTTAATCATACTGTATGTCAGGTGTTACGTCTTCTGATTATATTTCTGATTATAATTTACTCATCTTTTCTCTGTATTTCAGTTCCCTTGCCTCTTAACAAGTTGCGTCTTAAAGTCATTATGCTGTTTCATTTGAAGTTTGTTATTGAAGTTATTATCTTTATTGCATAATAGACTCTGGATATTTAATCCCTTATTAGGCATACAAAACTACTTTTCATGAAAGCATGAGATTTAAAGGAGCTGAACTATAAAAAACTAAAACTAATGCAGCCCTGTTAATCTTAATCATACTGTATGTCAGGTGTTACGTCTTCTGATTATATTTCTGATTATAATTTACTCATCTTTTCTCTGTATTTCAGTTCCCTTGCCTCTTAACAAGTTGCGTCTTAAAGTCATTATGCTGTTTCATTTGAAGTTTGTTATTGAAGTTATTATCTTTATTGCATAATAGACTGGATATTTAATCCCTTATTAGGCATACAAAACTAATTTTCATGAAAGCATGAGATTTAAAGGAGCTGAAGATGCAGAGAAATGTATGTGTCCATTGAATCAGATAAAGTTATTGATAATAAATATTGTTCATAGATAACTATCCTACTACTGGGGCTTTGTTTAAAAAACTATTGTTGATTACAGTGGCTAAAAGCAGCGCTATGGCTGTGGTTCATATATGGATGATATTGTAGTTGTACTTTGTTCTTTTTAGAAGTTACTTATTTTTGTTCCTCTGTTATCTGTTGGGTGTTTTTCTGTTTTCTTACCTTTTGACAAGTTGACAAGTTCTTGTGATGGTAATTGTTCATGAGCACCTGCTGGTTGATTTGAATGTCACTAAATGTATTTGTTGTTTTGCAATTTATCTTCTTATGTGTTCCACAGAAGAAAAAAATAATACAGATTGGGAACAAGATGACAGAATTTCATTTTTGGATGAACTGTAACTTTAAGTGCAATTATAGTTGCATTACTTTTTAACGTGTATTACTTTGACAAATTAAAATAGTAAGAAATAAATAATATAAATCAAACTGCTTTCTGTGCACTAGATGTTACGAAAATGGATAAAGGCCTGTGGTAATTAAAACCAATGAAGTAATAGCAACTAAAGCTATTACTAAACATTTAGTTGAGAATGTTAACATTGAATTCTAAAGGTTTAGGTATTAGTCCCATGCATAGCATACATCAGCATTTTGTAAACTCTAGAAAGCATTTGTCATCCTAAGAATTGGATGAAAAACTGCTTAGTTGTAACAAACTCATGATCATAACAATCTAGGGATCAGCACTGCCCTCTACTGACTTAAATAACATACTACAACTGGAGCTTCAGTTATGCCTGCATTTGTAATTATATGAAGGAAAACTCACTGACTGCTTACACATTACTAGCTATGACATTTGAGAGATAGAGTAAATATATTCAAAATGATGAGAAATGATCAGAATTTTTATACACAAATAATTCCTCTGTTAATTAAAAATTATTACTGACTCTGTATGTTAAAAAAATTTGATTAAAAACTGGGCGAATTAAAAAAAAATCTTGATGTGTGTGTGTTTTTTTTTTTCTAATGTAGATGAGAATTTCTTTTGAACAGAAAGTCAATAAAAGGCACATAAGCATTTTTATACACAAACAATTCCTCTGTCAATTAAACATTATTACTGACTCTATATATGCTAACAAAATTTGATTAAACAAAGAACTAGGCAAAAAAAAATAAAAAAAATACAAATTGTTATCCCAACGCTATGAAGTGGCTGGTATAATTATCATCAAGTCTTTTTTTTTAGAAGTATAATAGTCTACTTGTTTGCCTTCACATGACACCAGTTTTGGGTCTTTGCTCAGACTGTTCTTTTGGTTTCTCTGACACCGGCGAATGACGGCGACTGAGAACAGCAGGAGAGAACTGGAGATCAGGGCAAACCCACTCAGAAAGAACGTCGCCGTGTAAGTCCCTGTGGTGTCTACCAACCAACCTATGCAAAAAAATACCAAATCACATGATTACTTCAGAGTTTTTTTTTTTTTGAAGTAACCTTTATCCTTCCAAGTAAATAACTTCATGTGGTGAAATGGGAAGAGTTTGGATGGTTAATGTGTCTCTGTACATTAATAATTAATCAAATATTGGACTATTTTAATAGAACCTGTCGTTACAAAGTGAAAATTTAGGTTAATGTTTGTTCTTTAAAGAACATTCCAGGTAATCTTTAACATAGATTTTATGTACTGCATCTAGGGCGTGTTGTTGATTACCACAGAAAATAAAAGCTCATCACTCAATGTGACAAAAAATAACATGTTTATTATTATAATGGAACTTAGAACTGACCAAATTAAAATAATTATTTGAGGCTCTTACCTCCAATGGGTGGGCTGACCAGATAGGGAACAGCGTGGAGGAAGTACACAACTCCAAGAGCTGAAGACAGGTATGTTGTCCCTACAACATCTGACGTTACAACAGGAATGAGGGCAACATAGGCACCATCAAAGTATCCATAGAGCACAGAGAAGGGTACCAGCAAGACAAATGTGTGCAAGAGGGGGATAAAAAGACAGCATAGTCCTTCCATTCCCACAGCAAACATGTAGCATATATTCCTGTACTTCTTCAGACACCTGGGAGAGATACAGAAAGTGTTAGTCAGCATGATCAGAAGCAAACAATCAACAATCTTTGTGTGTTTTCCTAAAACCTGAGCATTTTTTTTTTTATCTTTTTGACCTCTATGAATCATTCATCAGACAAGAAACCATGACATGTACACTCTAGTAAAGTTTAACTCTAAACTGACAGCTGGGTCAATGAAAAATTAAGAAAAAGACAAGACATTTTTTAAAATCGAAAAACGTGTGTCCTAAGGTTATTAAAATGTCTGTCTTTGTTCTTGTTTTAGAAAACGTTACAAGTGTATACTATATACGAATACAAGTGAGTATTCAAATTCTAATAATTACTGTTTATTTTATTATTTATTTGTCATTTATATTATTTTCTTCCATTTTTAATTTCGTAGTTTTAATGAATTTGTGATATCAGGACAGTTTTTTTTTACTTTATGCCTATCAAAAAATATAAAAATGAAATTAAAAATATGCTCATCATCAGCGAATAGGTTAATTCATGTTAACTGATGCTGAGCTCACTGCATGTGTATTAAGATATGAAAAGTGTCAATATCATTGACCCAGCTTTTTATTGAAAAAAAAAATCTGTGCTTAGAAAAAAATGTATAATTAAATCTTAAGTTAAAGAAGAAACAAACAACATGTGGCTCAGTCAATAAATGACCTATTCCTGTTTTTGACTGTAATGCAATACTAACACAGCACAAAACAACATACCTCCTGTCAGTGAGCCAGCCAAATGTGATGTTGCCAACGATGTCGATGACCCCTAGTATGGACATCAGGAAGGCAGCATGCTGATGACCGATCCCTACATCCAGCGCGTATGGTACTAGGTACACAAATGGCAAACTGCACCCGCTGGCCAGCAGCAGGAAGGAGCCTGCCAGCACCAGGAAGTCAGGCATGAGCAAAAAGTGGTATTCCTGCATGGACTGAAGACAACGTTGTTTAGAGTCCACTTCTAATTTGTCATCCACAGCCTTCCCCGTAGGAACGCTGGGTGGCTTAACACCATACTCGCACTCTGAGTCTACTGGAAGAGGACAGGCCTCCTCTTCTTTTAGAATGATAGGCCGTAACAGAGCTCCACATACACACAGGTTAGACACAAAGCCCCCTAAAATGAGGAGGGCCCCTCGCCACGAGTAGTGTTCGATTAGCAGCTGCACTACTGGGGCCAGGATGAAGGTCCCGATGCCACTGCCAGACATGGCAATGCCATAGGCCAAAGCCTTCCTCTCACAGAAATAGATACCGACCATGGCAATAGCAGGGGTGTAGCAAAGGGCGAAGCCAAGCCCTAAAAAATAAGAATAGTAAATATAGAAAGTATAGAATATGGGTATGTAGGTCAGTGTTTTATTCTTAGGGCTCTTACCAGTTAAAACTCCCAGGGTAAGGTAAAGATATTCCAGACTGGTTGCGAAGGAGCTGAGGACTAAACCTATGGAGGCCAGGAATCCTCCTAGAATTACAGCTACACGGCATGACAACCGATTTCCGATCAGGCTTCCGAGTGGAGCTGCAAAAAAGTAACATGTGAATAAACATATTGTGCAAATCATATTGAACAATTTGATGAGAAAAATCATATTTTAAATATTATTTAAAACTACTAACGTCCACTACTATACATACAATTTGGGGCCAATTTCTTTATAGACATTGATATTTGTATTCAGCAAAGATGGATTAAATTTGTTTAAAAGTGACAGTAAAAACTTTTACATAGTTACAAAAGATTTCTATTTTAAATGAATGCTGTTCAAAATTGATAAGAAATGTTTCTTGAGCACCAAACCAGCATATTAGAATGATTTCTGAAGGATCATGTGATAATAAAGACTGAAAAAAATGGCTGCCGAATATTCAGCTTTGCCATCACAGGAATACAATTTGAAAATGTATTTAAAAATAGAAAACTGTTACGTTAAATTGTAATAGTATTTCACAATATTAATTGTGTTATAATTATTGTAATAATTATAATAATTGAGTATTTAATATAAATTGTGTGTTTCTGAGAAAAATGCTGGATGGAAACAACAAGATATGACTGTGGATTTTTATTCAATAAGAGGGCATAAACTTCAACAAAAACACATTTCTGGAATAAATTTACATTCACATCAAAAATGTCAAGTAAGTGTCATGCTTCCAACCACTAAGCAAACATAATTTCATCAGGTTGTTTTGTCTGTGTTTTAAATGGCCAATAATTTGTAATATTACATTACACATTTTGCAATATTACATTACACAACATTCATTACAAGAAGTATTTAAATTTTTTTATTTAATTAAACAGTCACAGTCGCAACAACTTCCATTATT